GACCCCGCGCAGCAGCGCGCGCCCGTCCCCGCGTCGCCAGAGCCGCTGCTCCGCCAGCGCGTGCGGGTGACCCAGGGCCGTGGGACGAGGAAGAGGGACCTCCTCCTCTTCAGTGACGCCTTGGTCATCGCCAAGCCCAAGTAAGAGCGGCAGGGCCCGGCCGCCCTTTTCTCCCCGGCCCCGGCCCCGGCCCCGGCCCCGGGGCAGGGATGCCCAAGGAGCAGCCCCAGGCCCCCGGCACCCTGGTGCTGGAGGCGCCCACGGCCGTGCCCATGTCAGGGGCACGCCGGAGGGGAGCCACCGGGCTCGGCCACCTCCAGCTCGCTCCCTGCCGCTCTGCTCTGCAGACGTGGCAGCGCCCCGCGCCCGCAGCTCTGCCTGGCCCTGGGCCGGCTGCAGGTGCTGACCAGCAGGAAGGGGGCGGCCGGCAACGCCGCTGGCGAGGAGGAAGGCGAGCCCGCCAAGTCCCTCGTCCTCGTCTGGCCCTGCGGCTCTTGCGTCGTCACTTTCCGGTGAGTCTCGGTGCCGGGTCCCCGGCAGGGCTGGGCAGCGCCTCTGTCCTGCCCCACGGGGCTCCGTCCCGCCTCCGTGGCCGTCCCCACAGGGCAGGGCCGTGCCGGCGCCCGCCTCTGCCCGCAGGCTGGGGAGCAGCGGGCGCTCAGGCTCTTTCTCCTCTCTTTCTGCAGCTCCTGGGCGCTGAAGGAGCTCTGGGTCAGCGCGCTCCTTGGGTAAGCCCTGCCTGGCGGCGCAGCCCGGGGGGCCCGTGCTCGCGTCGCGGGGGGATGCTCCAGGTGTAGCCGTACGAGGCGGACACACCGCTCCCCTGCCCGGGGGCTGGGGGCCGCTCTGGGGCGGGCAGAGCTGGCGGAGCTGCTTCGCCCAGCCGCGTCCAGCCAGCACCTGCCCAGCCCCGTCCTCACCGCTGCCGCTGCTCTCCGCCCCGCTGCCGGGCGCTGCCCGGCTATGCCGGGGCACCTCGGGAGCACTCCCCGGGCTGGCGGGAGAGAGAAAAGGCGGCTTGGGTCTCACGCGGCTCTTTCTCTGCCCCTTCCCCGTGCGCAGGCCGCCAGAAGGAGTGGAGGGAGCCCGGGTGACCCAGCTGCCCTCCATCAAGCTCCTGCTGGAGGAGCTGAGCGGCCGCAATGCTGTGAGTGTCCCCCCTGGCTCCGCTCTGCCCCCGGATGCTCCCCGGCCCAGCATCAGGTGCCCCGCTTCTCACCTTCTGCTCTTCTCCCCTTGCCCAGGCGACGACGCTACACGCCAGCAGCCTGGAGAGGCTGGTCGAGCGCCAGGCAGAGGTGAGGCTCGCTCGGGGGGCAATCGCAGCCCTCCCCACCTCTCACACACGGCCAGGGGCCGATGCAGCTCGCCGGGGGCCCTTTCTGCAGCGGGGCTGCTCGGCGAGCGCAGCGCGTGTCTTGCAGGCTGGTGTGGAGCAGCGGCCGCCACCCGTCCCCTCCGGAAGAGAGCGTGGACGTGGCCACGTGGCTGGTGAGTTCGGAGAAGACGGGGGCAGGACGGCCCTCCTCTCCTCCTCCTGCAGGCGGACACTCGTGCTGCACTGGGGCTGCTGCTGCCCTTCCCGCGGGGCGCGTCTGTCCCCACCGCTCTGCGGCAGGGGAGAGCTGAGCCCCCGGGGCCCCTCGTTCCCAAAGGACACCTCTCCACGCAGGGTTTTTTGCTCGGTTTTCCTTGGCAGCAGGCGGGACCCGCGGGAGGAGGATGGGCCTGCCCTGGCCCTTTGCGCGGCGAGGGACCTCGGCCGCTGCAGAGGTGCCCGGGCCGTCGGCCTCTGGAGGCGGGGGGGCTCTCTTTGGCCGGCCCCTGGCAGCTCTCTGCAGCCAGGACGGCACGCTGCCCCAGCCCATCCAGGTAAGCAAGCCTGGGCAGGGGGTCCCCACCCCGCTGGCTCCTCCGGAGAGGTGGTGCCCCCAGCAGAGGGACCCCGGGTGGGGCTCGGGGACAAAGCCATCTCCTCCCCACGTCGCCCACCTCCAGCCACCCCTCCGCCCCGCCCCGCCCCGCCCCAGTGAGAGCTGTGGAGCCGTCCACACTTGCTCCTGCCCCTGAGGAAGGTTCGCCTGCCCCAGGGCCTGTCTCCAGCCAAGCAGCTCTCCCCCTCTGTCCCCTGCAGGACCTGCTGGCTCTGCTGCACGAGCACGGGCCATCCACGGAGGGGATCTTCCGGCTGGCGGCCAGCGAGCGGGCCTCCCGGGAGCTCAGGGAGGCCCTCGACAGCGGAGCGGAGGTCCGCCTCGAAAGCCAGCCTGCGCACCTGCTGGCCGTCGTCCTGAAGGTGAACCCTGCTGACCTGGAGCCCGGCAGCTCCCGGCTCTGTCGGTGCCGATGGGCACCTGCGAGAGCAGGAGCCAAAACCCGGCCGCCTGCTCGTCGGCCGGAGTGCCGGGGATGCCGCCTGTGCTCCCGGCGGCGGTGGTCCAAGACTCACCCGGAGCCCTTGGCGTTGCAGGACTTCCTCCGCAAGATCCCCTCCAAGCTCCTCGAGGCAGAGCTCTACGAGGAGTGGATGAGCGCCCTGCAGAAGTCCAGCAGGCAGGAGAAGCTGGCAGGACTGAAGGAGTACGTGTGGCGAGCAGCCTGCCTGCTCCACGGGGAATGGCAGAGGGCGGGACTTGTCTGCAAACGAAGGCGCCCTTGACAAAGCCGTCTTTTCTGCTGCCAGCCACCTCTTGGGGGACTCTTGCCAGAAGGGCAGGGAGGGAGGTGGCCGTATCTCGGCGAAGGCAGTCCCTCTGCTGGAGACCAGGCGTGCCCAGGGAGCCTTCCCTCGGGTGGCCTTGGGTGAGATCAGCCTGGGAGGCCTGCATTGACAATGTTGAGTTGATTAACATTGCGCTCCTGTTCCCTTCCCTCAGGGTGGCCGGCAAGTTGCCCGAGGCCAACCTCCTCCTGCTCAAGCAGTTGCTGGCCCTGCTGCAAAACATCAGCAGGAACGTGGCCACCAGCAGGATGACTGCGGGCAACCTGGCCATCTGCGTGGGGCCAAACCTCCTCAGCCCACCCGAGGAGCACACGCTCCCCCTGGATGCCCTGGTGCAGGTGACGGGCAAGGTACGCTGTGTTTACCAGCCGGCTACGGCCTTCCGGACCCACCCCAGCTTTGCTGTTCAGAGGTACCAGGCTGCCTCCTCTCTTCAGCAAATGCTCGTGGGGGAGCTGCTGGGAAGAGCAGCCCCACAGCTGCAGCTTTCTGCACAGAAGCGAGGGTCAGGAGTGGGAAAAGCTGTTTGACCCGTCTTCGGCCACCCAGGTGGAAAGCAATGGTTTGCTGTGTGCAGGTGACGCGGCTGGTGGAGTTCCTCATTGAGCACCACGGGGAACTCTTTGAGGAGGAGGAGGAGGAGGCGGCTGGGCTTGCCGGTGCTTCGGCCGAGGAGTCGCCAGCACCGGGGGCAGAAGCAGGAACAGCAGAGGTATGTCAGGTCCAGAAACAGCATGACAACAAAAGCCTCCCCCTCAGGAGGTGGGACTGCTGCCACCGGGACAAGCAAGGTCATCCACCAGCCTGCAGCTCTGCAAAAGCGCAGAGCGAGGCTGACGCAGGTTGGCCATCCCACTTTGTGCGATGACCCCACCAGAAGTGGCTCAGCTGAGCTGAGCAAACCCATCCCTGGGATCTGCCTTTCAGAGCTAAGGTAGCAATCGGGCAGGTAGGTCCTTGCCACCTGTTAGCTTCCATGTTTCCATTGCAGGTGCCTCCAGTCGCTCCAGAAAGCGAACCCCCGAAGAGCTCATCTGGGGAGAGAAGGTAAAATGAGCTAGCTTTGGTTAAGAGGAGAATTGATTCACGTTTATCATGGCTTTACCTGTCTAACAATACTATTGAATGGAAAGATTGCCAGGCTCTTCGCAGCAAAAGGAAGAACACTCCAACAGAAAGAGAAAACTAAGCTGCGAAGAGGAGAGTGATGGCCAGCCAGCAAACAAAAGGCAGAAGCTGGAAACTGAGATCTCGGGAATGGGCGACTGCAAAAACCTGGGCAGGGCAAGAAGAGCAAGGAGCCCAGGTGCGTAACAGACCGACCCTGCTGTCCATCTTTCGACTTTTAACGGTGCTCTGAGTATTGGAAATATTGCCGAGGTGCACAGAGATGGCCCCGGAGAGGAAGCATGCACCTGCCCTTGGGAGAACATGTATGTTGGGAGAAACATACCACTCCAGCATTGGCAGTTTTCGTTTTGCACAGGTTGAAGCTCTGTTTCTGCAAGGCTGAGCAGACACCCCGGCAAGGTCACAAGACTCACAATTCTGAGTTCTTTGACCTGCTACCTACAGAAAGAGGCAATGTGCCACCTTTCTGTTCACATCAGCTGGCAACCCTAGCGCTGACTGGTATCGTCTGAATCCCAAAGACACAGCCAGCAGTTGTTCCAAGTAGCTATAGACACTGAGATATTGGCACTTCTTAAAAAGCTCCCATTTTGCCTGAGATAACTGAGGCAAGGAAAAAAAAACCCACCCCACAATAAAAAAAAAAGCATTCTTTGACTGCAAACCTGCCATTTTAGCATGGGACACTGAGGGATGGTGCTGCCCGGGTTTTGGAAAGGACCACGTCATAGCTCCTCGGGGGCTCGCTGCTTGAGCCCTACTGCCTGTCAAAGGGGCACTGCACATCTCCGTCAACTTGCCGTGCCCTGAGGGTATCACACGTGTTGAGAAGGGGCCAAAGCAACACCACGGTCGCTGCCAGTAACAGTTCTCCCTCCCGTGCCAGGAATGACCCCTTTTTTACAGCATGCTTCCCAAAGGACGGGGGACAAAGTCCTGCCTGTTCCTGCCTTCAGGGTTTCAGCAGCGCTTTCTGACTCTGTCCTTGCAGGTGCCCATCTACGTTTCCTGCTTGGATTCCCCAGATGAGCTCTGTTACCTGGCCTTCGAGGGGCACGATGCAGCCCCAGCACCACCTCGGCGGAGGCGAGGAGAGAGTCACCGTGCCCTTCTGCTCTGGCCGGCAGATTTCACTCGCACACCACCAAGCCGGAGCGGCCCCGCACTGCCCGCAGACCCATCCCACCCCTCGCAGGAGGCCTTGCTGGCTCGCTCCTCAGCTCCGTGAGCAAATGCCCACCAGCTGGCACATCTCCCCAGGTGGGGAGCTGGCATGTGAACTTCAGGTTATACGGAGCATCTTACACAGGGCGGTGCATATCATCTGAGAGGGACCCGAGGGACATGCTGGACAGCATGTTCCATACTAGAAAACCCTCCAGGTTAAGTCAAAACATGTTAGGCTATAGCATGGCTAAAAACATACCTATCAAGGATTGCTACAGTGTTGGTATATGAAGCCTGTGAGAACTGCAGGGCTATGCAGCCCTGAACTGCATCAAAACCTGATGTGCTCAAGCAATTTCAAAGTAGCAGTCCAGGGGATAAAGCACCGTTCCCATGTGCAGAGCTGAATTTCACGGAAAAACACAAAAAAGAGTTGATCCTAATTTGCCTTCGGATACACTGGAACTGTGTAGCCAGCTGACACCCATTGATGGTCAAAACTGGCATTTTCCCTCGTCCTTCACATCTCTTCATAAGTCCATAAACAGGGATTCCAATAATCCTGTATTACTATGTCTTATAGAAATAAATTTTTGGATATACTTTATACTTTTTTGGATACACCTTATAGTATAACCTGCAAATGTAGTGTCTTATCTTCCTTACCTCCCCTTAAGCCAATATATACACAATGATAGGAGTTCTGGTTCAGTGATTTTGCGATTTAGAAAGCAGTCATTTCACATTCTTTGAGCACATGCTTCTAGTAATTTCATTTTATTTCACAAGACTAGTCTTAGAGTGACTTTTCAGCTATATTAGTAAAAAAGCAGCAAGAATGACAGGAGTCATATCTCCCTACATTGTCATCTGCATCCTGCAGTGTGCAAAATGGAAAAGAAAGTATACTGAGAGTCTATGGATTAGGAAAGAAATGACAGAAAGATAATTATGAATGCAAAAGAAGAATGGTAGCTTGTCACATATCTTACTTGACATTTCTGAGTGGGTGTCAAGAAGGTGGATAATGCCAGCAGAGCTGCATTGCCTTTTTGGTACAGGAACAAACCACTGCACCTTTAAAAAAATTCAAATAAACTCCAGAAAAGTATTGACCCACTATCAGAATACAGCTACATCTCTTATACAGCTGTTAAGGTCAGGAAGTAAAGAGAAAATAATTTCTAAGAGAAAAGGCAGACAGGCAGCAGAAAGGAGCATTGAATTACTCCACTGCATTTTTATTTACAGCTACTCATTCTTGGCAGAGAGATGCTGAACCAACTTGCTCGATACACGAAGGGAGCACCCATTGCTGCTCTTTGGTCAGTGCAAGTACTTGTATGCAGCACACAGCAGAATACCCTTTTTTATAATTCTTGTTCAGACATGACTAGCTTGCAGATTCCATTAGGTTAACAGCTCCAGATCAGCTACATGGAACATTCCTTTCTTACTTCTTCTCCAGCAGATCAGCTCTCTCTGGACTGATGCAAACACACCCCTTTCTGTCAGTCATAGCTGGAGTTTTGAAAGCAGCTTTTCCAAAGGTTCCAAATACTTAAACAGCCTCTATCATTTTGATACTTGAGCCCTGGACGATGCCTAATGGGGTCAAGCTCCTTTCAGAAGGAAAAATACAAGTGCCAGGCACAACAGGGGAAAGAAATTGCACAGCTGATCTGCAGATCTTGCAATGACTGTGCAGGTGTCAGCAGAGCACGGAAATTCAGGTGCAACTCTCCTAGCTGGCACCTGACGTGTTTCAGATGCAATGCCATCTTTTTTTCACAGGCAAAGGCTCACTTGACACCCTCAGCAATCACTGCGCAAAGTAGTTAAACTCCCAACTGCTAGCAGCTCTGCACCATGGCAAAACTGAGGCATTTTAGAGAAAAAAAAAAGCCTAAATCCTCTTTGGAAAATAAAAAATCCCTATGCACTCAAAAGGGAGAAACATCAGATCTCGAGACCTGACTCTGGTCTTCTTACCATCTCCCTGCCATTCACTTACCTGCCTCCGTAGCTGAGAACTGCAGATCGGCATTTCGTCTGGAGTTCCTAACCACAATGTGTGCTCCAGATGCTGCTGCTCTGCAGGGCCAGTGTGGGCAGGCAGAAGGTGTACCTGCCGTCTCTGGAGCTTACTCCACACAAGGGTGGAAGGAAAACCAAGGATACCAAGCGCACTCCCACCACACAACCATGTGGATGTGGGAGTCGATGGTGCTATTGTACACGCAGCTGCCTGCTTGCTAGTGCTTTATACAGACTTAGAGTCTCTGCTAACACATTGCAATACAAAGTTGTGCCCCATTCTCTTTTCCGTCGCATGAATGTCCCAATGTATATTGCAACCAAAACACCCAATAAATAAAGGATTATTTAAATGCCATTAGGAAATGATAGCCAGCATCCCAGCCATGTGCAAACAAAGCTGTCTCAAATCTAAGTACTGACACAGCGATTTGTTTGCAATAGGACTGCATGACCGATATGTGCCTGTTCCCCTTGCCTTTGCTGGAATACATTGTATGGACTGTCTGCAGTTCTTAGCATTTCTTCACATGCCCTTCTTTCTGAAATTTCTTACTATTTCTTTATGGAAATAAAGCGTCAAATGTATATCTCAGTATAGTCTCAGTATTTGCATGAGTCCTTCCCTTCCTTTCCCTTCCTTTTTTCTTCCTCTCTTCTTCTCTGTGTTTCACCCCTCTCTCTCTGATATTTAACTGTCCAAGAAGACAAAAAGTTCATGCGAGGGTTGCACTTGTATAAGCCTTTTCTGTCTCCCAGGAGCTTTGTTTTTTCTCATAGGAAACCTGAGGAGACACCTGCATCCAAGAAAAGGTCTTGACAAGAAAAGAACTGTGTATGTTACTACTTCTTCTGATCTGGGAAAAAAAGCACCACTTTTTTGCCCATCACAGAGGCTACTGGTCAATATTTCTATTATCTTCCTATGCTTCCTTTCCATCCTTCACATTCAGTGCCAAAGCCCCAAACCTCTTGGCCACGTTGCCATACCACAGACTTTGTTAGGAAAAGAATAATTTAGAGATCGTCAGGAAGGTTCTATTTATGGAAAGGAGATTTTTTTTTTTTTTGTCGCCTAGAAAAGATAGAAAGAACTGGTAAGTTACAAGGGGACAGCCATTTCAAATCTACCTCATCTAAATAGTAGCTGATGAATTAAAAATTATTCTCTATCAGCTGACAATGATGGGGAAGACTCCTCTTCCTCAGGAAAAAAAAAAGTACAGGATGCTGAGAATGAAGGGTTGTATGAAAACTAATGTTACCATGTCCTTGCTCCAGCAAGGGACAGCAAGACAGGGGCAGGGGCAGCAAGGGAGATGAAACGTGTTTCCTCATCCCTATGGATGCTTTCTACCTATCGGAGCAAACTGGAATGCATGATCTGGACCACCCAAGATGATCATGATGCCCTCTTGGTGGTCATACTCACAGTGTGCTGGGATGACTGAATTATGCTAAGAACTGTATGCCTATGTATGCACTCATACTTATGAAATGTGCAATTCTGATTTTATTTCTAAAAATAAGTACATACTTAGTAAACATGACTCACTGCTCTTTATTCTGGCTTGAAATCTGTATTTGCTCCCCACGTGCTGAGGGAGGAGGGATATCTGGGAAATGGATGCTCACATTGTCAAAACCAACATCAACAAAGATCCTAGGTGCTGCTTATGCAAGTCCATTCAGCCTTCTTATCCCTGCCCCATCCATTCCAGTGACTGAGGAGACCTTCTTGCCATCGTAATAGGTTGTGCCTCCTAATAGAGGTCTCGTGCAGGGGGGAGCACACATGCCCCAGTTCTCTCTCAGCTGAGAAAGGACTAGTTCCAGTGCTGTACTTGTGTTAGGTGATGACCTCTGGCACTTCAGCCCTTTGCTGGGCGGTTCCCCAACACTAGACTTGCCCCATCTGCATTGGGCTAGAAAGCATCTCATGATCATGCAGGACCTATGCTCTGCACAGAGGTACAGTGACCCTGCTTAGAGTTTTCACAAAAAAAGCAGCTGAACTTGTCCTTCCAGCCCTTTAAAGTAGATCAGTAAGACTGCAGATACCCATTAGCAACCTGGGCTGGGCACTCACCTGCAAGGGCTCATACAAATTTCTGCTTGACCAGGCAAAGACAAGCTGTATTCTGAGCTCCCCTATCTGAGACAAGTTTTCTATTCCATTCAAGACAGGCAGCTAAGGGAAACTCTGGTTTGCAGTTGATATCCCCAGGCCCTTTGGTTTAACCTAAAACAATTGAAGGCACTGTCAGTTTTACTTATGTCTCTGTTTTCAAATACCTAAAGCTCCCTGTGAAATGCATTTTTCAGCAATGCAATTCACCAAAATTTGCCCACCCTTACACAGAGGTAACTATCCAAGTGTTACATAGCTAGTTACCCTAGTGTAACTATCAGTCCGTGTACAGCTGGAGAGAATTTCAGAAAAAGAAACTAAAAATAATGGTGGGAAAGAAAGTTTTAACAAAAGAGGAATTAAGTAGATGCACCTATATATGCATATGAATTTGCCTGGTCCCATAAAGCTAATGTAGGCAGCAGGTTTTAGCTGGACAAGTAAAAAATCTCAAGATTACTCTATTAAATTCATGAAATTTGATTGAAAGCACACAACAAGCAGATTAAAAAATCTTCTAAAATATAACAATCAAAAACATTAAATTCATAAAGTAACAATAAAGAGGAGAAACCCTGAGGAAAAGACTAAGGCTTTCACAAAACTAAAAAAATCTGTTTCTAAATCTTTCTTTTATATACAAAATAACCATGGAAAAGAACATTTTCTTATCAAAATAATAAAAACATTCTCCAAAAATCACAGAGCAAATTCTTCTTCATTTCAAGGGGAAAAATATAATATATTGGAAGAACTGCAAGTTCTTTTACAAAGCCTGACCCAAGTGAAGCTAAGCAGAAAGAGGAGTGCAATTCTACTTATACAGTACTGGTAGAGTTTAGCTGCTGTGTAGGTACACCAGCACTGTGTAGGTTTCTCCACATATGTAAACC